TCATTGTCGCAGCCTTCATGCAGCCACTCCAATACGATTTACGAAGTCCAGCTGCAAAAGACAATAGTATTACGCATACAGCCAAAGCAGGAAGCAACCTTGACGCAGCCATTACAATGTGAGTTGCAAAACACAATAGAACTACGCGCAACGGCGTCGGAAATTGTAGCTTCAAAACCGGATCTCGACGCCAGAGCGAAAAAAAGAAGATTTTGAAGCACTTTTTAAAATGATTTTTAGAAGGAAATTCACTAGCGCCAAAATGGAGAAAAAAATGCATTTCGTGCGAGACTTCCTTCAAAACTCCATCGGCAACTCATCCACCAGCACCACTTGCAATCCCATTTACATTGCGGGAACGATCCTACAGTTGCAAATCACAATGGAATTCTGTCGACCGCGCATGCACGAAAAACACTTGAAACCCCATTTACAATGCGGAACCGATCCGACCATGATCCGACCATGATCCGAGAATGATCCGAGCATGATCCGACCACACACGAGACCGTCTCGCAACCGTCGCACCGCAGAGGTAGATCATCGAGGTTCGGGGACGGACTTTGTGTGGAAAAACATAGGCTTTCGTGCATTTGCTATCTCTCAAAAACGCATTTCGTGCGAGACTTCCTCCAAAACTCCATCGGCAACTCCTCCACCAGCACCACTTGCAATCCCATTTACATTGCGGGAACGATCCTACAGTTGCAAACCACAATGGAATTCTGTCGACCGCGCATGCACGAAAAACACTTGAAACCCCATTTACAATGCGGAACCGATCCGACCATGGTCCGAGAATGATCCGACCATGGTCCGAGAATGATCCGACCACACACGAGACCGTCTCGCACCCGTCGCACCGCAGAGGTAGATCATCGAGGTTCGGGGACGGACTTTGTATGGAAAAACACAGGGTTTCGTGCATCTGCTATCTCTCAAAAACGCATTTCGTGCGAGACTTCCTTCAAAACTCCATCGGCAACTCATCAACCAGCACCACTTGCAATCCCATTTACATTGCGGGAACAATTTCTTTGACTAACTCGTTCCCTAACGAACTCTTTCTTTGCTAACTCTTTCTTTGCTCTTTCTTTGACTCACTCTTTCTTTGCTAACTCTTTCTTTGACTACCTCATATATCCTGACTAACTCTTTCTTTGACTAACTCTTTCCCTCACTAACTCTTTCTTTGACTAACTCTTTCCCTCACTAACTATTTCTTTGACTAACTCTTTCCCTCACTAACTCTTTTTTTGACTAACTCTTTCCCTGACTAACTGTTTCTTTGCTAACTCTTTCTTTGAACTAACTTTTCCCTCACTTTTCTTTGACTAACTCTTTCCCTGACTAACTGTTTCTTTGCTACTTGACTAACTCTTTCCCTCACTAACTCTTTCTTTGACTAACTCTTTCCCTGACTAACTCTTTCTTTGACTAACTCTTTCCCTGACTAACTCTTTCTTTGACTAACTCTTTCCCTGACTAACTGTTTCTTTGACTAACTCTTTCTTTGACTAACTCTTTCCCTGACGAACTCTTTCTTTGCTAACTCTTTCTTTGACTAACTCTTTCCCTGACATTCTAAAAGTCCGTAACACGGAAGTTTCTCCCCCTAAACTTCCTTTGATTACATATTACATTACACATTACACATTACATTACACATTACACATTACACATTACACGTTACACATTACACATTACACATTACACATTGCACATTACACATTACACATTACATTTTAGATTACATTACATTAGTATAGTTTAGTATGGTTTTAGTATTGAATCGATTCGTTTTGGACCTGGATATGTGGCAACCCCCCTGGATGAGTTCAGGCTTCGGAAAATCGCCCTAGACCGCCGACCCTAACCCCAAAAGATGGAAAAGTACATTGTCGCTATTTGAGTAGGATTTTACTGTTCTATCTTTTGGTGATTTCCCTCTGGAAACTGAACATAGATTTGGTGAAACAATGATCACTTACAAATGATCACTGCGCATTAAAACCTTCATTTGCAGTGGATTTCTCAAAACCACGTTGAAGTACCACGTTGGTTAGTCGCAAAGGCTCGATTTATAATTCGCCAAACGGGGCCAAAAATCAAGACACAGCTTCAGGGCGGACGAATTAGAGGGTCCCACAGATCCAGGGACCATCCCACCAACATAATCTCCCAAGGAAGCTGACATAGTGGTGCTGAAAAAACTCAGCTATCCAGGGAAGTTCCCCTCAACAAAGACAGTCCGACTTGTCGCTGTCGTCTATCGGCTATCGGCTATCGTTCTTCCAACCTCCAACTCACCCAACGTGGCTGCAGCAAGCGACTCATCCACAAGCTCACCATGCTCCCGCTGAATCCGTGCCAGCTCATCCAACTTCACCAGGGCACGACGATGTTGCCGTCCACCTCGGCGGAAAAGCCGAGATTTCAGCGACTTTCTTTGGATGAAGGGGAAATGTACCAAAAAACTAGGGAAACCATTGAGGTTTTGCCCATGGATATACGAAATATCAGGGGTTCTTTCTTATTTCCCCTTCATCCAATTCTGAGATTGTAGGATATTGAACCATCAAAAGGATATGGTGACCTGAAATATCACACTGGCAGGTGGGTTTATCTGAAAATGGAAGATGTGTGGAAGATGGTTTTGTCTGAAAATTTGTCGGAAACCTGGGAAACCCCAAAACAGCACGGTTGATCATGAATATATGTATACGAATGATTATAATTAATTGTAATTGTATAGGAAAAACATTTTGATGTATCCTCCATTGTTCCACAATCCCATATTGAACCACCGAAAACTAACGGGTCATATTTTGAGACGCATTGTGGATGTAGTTCTCATTCTGGTTTATGATATTGTGGCAGCAAGAGTCCATGCTGCTACGCACCCCTCATCTTGGTTGGTTTGTCAACATGCCGTTTACATGCCATTGACATGCCATTTACAGGTTCCATCACCATGTTTATTCATTCTATAGATTTTTTTCGTATTGTGTTGATACATGATCATCAAATCAAGTGCTTTTTGGACAAAAATCATTCGAAAAATCATTGGTGAATTTTCGTGGTTCCCTCATTAAAATCTCCTCACAGCGCCCCAGCGCCCCAGCGCCCTAACTCCGCCTTGGGGACGCTTGACATAGTACTCCACCCAACATGCATTGCTTCCAGGGCATGTTTCGACCTTGCATTTTGAGACTTTCAACCAACATAGTCGCCTGCTTCGCAGTTTTGCTGATCTTTGATGCCTATGAAATCCTACGAATAGTGGGGGAAAGGTTTCCCTTTCCTGCGACAAAATCGTATGTGAATGAGGGGAATGGTGTTGGTACGTGAAATACCTCTGTCCTGTTGTTTCCCTATCATGCTATATATGAGATTTGAAAATTTCCATAGAAACACAACGGATCAATCTCCAGCAATCGAGCGAACGGCAATTCAATGATCGCTGAGCTCCCCATGAACCATGTCGCGAGACCCAAATCCCTTTTTTGTGCATCCACTACATGATGAACAAAAAGAAGAATAAAAACATTATATAAGATATTTGCCACTTGTTCAAATTGTTCCTGATATGTTTTGTATTTTTTTGTCCTTTGCATGTAGTTGAGACTGCAACCAAGACTCGACACAGGCTTACACATGTCCTCCCTCACAACGCTGGTACCACAGCTCGTCTCCAGCCTGGATTCAGCGTTTTTGAACTGGGTTGTCCAACCGTACAAAATGATCAAACTGGGCTGGTCAAATCAAATTAAAAAAATAACTGTCGTTCAAACCGGTTGCCAAAACGGGTTGCACCGCCAAATTCAACCGACCCAGATCCCAGGGCCAAGTCCCTGCCTGCAATTGTGAAGCCCAAGAGAACCAGTAATCAAAAGCCATGGCGCTGTTTGAAAAACAAATGCACGTTGGAATTTTTAATGGGTAAAATGTCAAAATTTAAAATGTAGAATACCTGGGTTGGATCATGCATGATCACGCCGGGCGCCCGGAAAACCAAAAGGCTGCGAATTTCGCAAGTGGAACCTTGGAAGACACTCCAGCAGTTACCATCTCACTGTCCTAACTGAGTTGTTGTAAGTTTCAGATTTCCAACAGTTTTGCAAAATGCAAATTGTTCTACTCATTTTGCTGGTTGCACCGAATCACTCGCGTCCAACACCTGGGATCGTTGGAGGTTCTTTGGCATTCATGGTGGGTTTGAGATGATACAGGGATGCACAGGGTCTTTAAACATCATTGCGTGTAATAATATGTTGGAATTTGGGAACTTAAATTTAAATCTTTCATGCAAGGCTTTTGAAGAAAAAACACTCTCATCCCGCATGGTATTTGCAAATTACTTGCAGAACGTGTGCATTCGTTTTTGGGTCGCAAGTAAACCAACGTCGCAACAAAACGATTCTAAATAATTTATGCAATATCAAAGCCAGAGTTTCATGGAACCAAAACATGCAAAGTCTCTAGAAATCATCAAAAACTTCACAAAGGAGTCAAATGATAGAATGATATCACGTCAATCTTGGGCCCTACCAAAAAGGATCAAAAACCAGCATTTGGCAACACATGTTCCCAAAAATCCACGAAAAAATAATGGTTTGGGCCCCTTTGGGTTTCCCTAGAATCAAAACTATCGCTGCGCAACCAAGCATGTTTTTTGCGCGCGAAAGGGCTGAAAAGGTCTTTTGCCCCTTGGGCTCAGGGGGCGGGGCGGTGGGCTACCTTGAGCCCAAAACTAAGGTAAACCCAATTAGGTCAAAACCTAGAGCGCGCTACACTAAGTTCCTACAGTTTGGACCGTTTGGGTTTCCCTAGAATCAAAACTATCGCTGCGCGCCCAAGCATGCTTTTTGCGCGCGAAAGGGCTGAAAAGGTCTTTGCCGAAAGGGTTGAAAAGGTCTTTGCCCCTTGGCCTCATTCCCCTCCCGCCACGCGCCTCAGACCCTGGTGGCCCCGGGCCACCGTGGCACAAAATTCGGACGTCAGGTCGGTGCGAGGTCAGCGCGCAACATAGATGCTGCCATTCCACGAGAATACTCCCGGTCTTCCCATAAGTAGGAGTGGAATGCGTCGCTCGCCCAACGCCCGAATCTTCGCACAACGGACGCATCCTTAAATGCAGTCCATAGCGCGCTTGCCCCTCCAAAACGTAGTGAGTGCGAACCAATCGTTCCGCCCACACCACATTGGCAAGCGGCTTCTTTCAGCAGCATCTGGATCGCCTCCTTTTGGACTCCTTCTCCTGAGGGGGTCCTAAAGAGTGGCTCTGCGGCCTCACAGTCGCACAGATACCTCTTTAGGAATTTCTGGAACAGCTGGATAACCGATTCGACTGGACAGACTCGATCTCCAGTCCGGTAGTGATTGCGATTTGTCTCTAAATTGTAATTGGTCTTACCACCATCGAGCTTGACCCGAACTTCATCGGCCTCTGTCAGGTTGCGCACAGGTTACCATGAGAATACAGCAGCACCTGGTGGCCTTTCAGGTGTCTCGAAAGAGGAAGGTAACCGAGAGGAAGGAATTCAGAGGCTCTCAACAGGAAAAAGAACCCAAGTGATAAAGTCTAGTTTCCTAGAACAAACCCAAGTTCGGAAATCAGAACCTCGAAAACCTAAACACAAAGTTTCAACCTCGACTCCTATAAGCGCAAACGTCAGCTTCAATCTTTTGCTCGGACACGACACAGAGGAGTCAGTCTCTCAGGCAGGACACGCCTGCAAGAGAGTAGAAACCCCAAAACGACCAGCGAAAACAGCGACAGCTGAATGTTTGTTTGTGATACACAGTTCATAATGACATCAAGACTCCCTCGAGCCAATGTCTGATATGGAAACGCAATTCCAGGTCCAAGAATCGCGACCTTCCCTAAAAGGCCGACTGAACAATTCCAAATTGCGTTGATCACAAATTCAGCTAGCTACCAAAGTATGATCTACTTCCAAAAGTTCTCAAATACTCTCGGCTCTCATCCAAACGTAAATAACCAGAGTTCTTTACACTCAAGAACGAAGTAGATGATTACAAATGTTCTATACAAGGTTGTTCTGTTTCACAAAACTCCCTCAACGCTTTTTCAAACATGAGGTTTGATCTCCAATAGCATCCCACTTAGCCAAAATAGTTCCAGCTTCACGAAACGCAATGGAGAGCAGAAAGTTCTGCATTACAGATCTCCAGTAAAACCAGTGCGGAATGTATCGTTGGAATCACCAAACAACCATGTAATGCAGAATCGCCCGATAAAGAAATGTGCGATGCGAACCAACTGTTCCAATCGCAATAGAATTAGTGTCCGAAAACATGTCCCATAGATGGTAATGGACAATATAAGCAATCGCAGCAATAAAGGTCCATCACCTTGTTCACTGCTGAGAAACAATCAGTGTTCTCCTGACAGAGAACTTGATGTTCTATCAGATCTCTAGTAACAGAGCATCAAGTTCCCCAATATGGTACCACATCATCACGGTCAGTGATGAATGTGTCAGATGTCAAAAGCCAGTTCAGGTGTTTCAACCAAACATTTGCTTCTGATACCAAAATCCGCTTTGAACGTACCATTCTGCAGCAAATCGTCCGATGAAAATGATCGCAGTTACCCAACTGCCTCAATCCAGCTGAAAAACCCTTCAAATGCAGAAATGAATACATCCATGATAGAACTTCTCGCAGCTAGACACTTCAGCATAATCATAATGTGCCAAAGCTCCAGCATCATGCAGAAAAAGTATACTCCACCACGGATATCATAGTGGATTGGCACAGAGATCGTTTAGACATTGTATTGTGGATGGCGTCCACAGGAGATGCATATTTCCACACCCCCTTTCGACATCCACAATCAATCTTGCAAACTGATCTTCTGAACGCAGAACTTAGCTATCGCCAGAGCACATAGTTTGCAGGATGAATCTCTCCAAGATGAATGTCCAAAAGGTCCCAATGCATTGTGCCTGAAGTCCTTCCAAACACGTGCTACACCAGAAGGACCAAAAAGAAAACTTCTCGCAATGTAGATATCAATATGGCGTACACAAGAGACTGATGAATTCTCCCACGAGCCACACGATCAGATAAAAGGCTCGCTCCCCCTAAATAGGGGTACAAAACCTATCTGGGGGCACAGGCTTTTAGTGGTCACGTGCATGTGTGGAAGGTGTTTGGATGACAACCTACAGCCCTGATGTGGTGGTCGTTTTGGAGCTGTGTTGTGCCTATAGTGGCAATTTTCCTGTTTTAGCGGGCCCCCAAATGGACCCCGCCAAGTCTCTTAAAAAGGTTCTAAAACCTGAGTTTTTGGGGAAATGAATGGGACTTGGTGGGGTCCATTTGGCGGACCGCTGAAACAGGAAAATTGCCAACCTATAGTCTATATTGGGCTACTGCTGGTGGCTCCTAGATTGAAGAGCTTCAAGGAACGCCCCGTTTTGTAATATTGCACATTTATCTTGAACAGTTGGCACCGCTCTGCTGTGCAAGGTTTGAACAAAGAGAGAATATGTGCAGAAAACAGGATTGAAGAAACACAGGCAGGCGATATGTTGGAGGACAGGTGATGGGGTTTGAGTAATTTCTGATCTCGCCTGGACCTCGCCTGGACATCGCCCGGATCTCGCCCAAATATGGCTACCAGCCTGCTTTGCAAGTGCTAGGGAGCGTTAACATCCCATACAGTTTTTGGGGCGTTTTGGGGTCATGTGGGCGCCATGTTCCGGTCATGTTGGCTGTATGTTGAAGCCATGTTAGCCATGTCGGGCCCATGTTGTGCTATGCCCATGTTGAGCCTATTCTGAGCCTATGTTGAGCCTTGACCAGAGCCAAGAACGCTATTTTCTGCGCAGCAGATAATGTCTTATCTTGCACACTCTAAACCAAGCGTGCTCTCATTTGCTGTGAACGCACAGCTTTGTAGTGCGCGTTCCACGTTCTCGTTCTTACGCTACGCTCCCCTCCGCTCTCTGCGTGCGTGGCTGGTGTGGTGTGAATTCTTTGTTGTGGCAGGCCATGGGCTCCTTGAGGATTTTAAATCAAAGCTCCAAGGAGCCACCTTTTCTGGGCCAGTGAGAGCTGACCTTGGACTGATATAGCTCCACCGGGGGATCATGACCCCAGTGGGATCCCTTACTTTCATTTACTATTGTTTTTTTGCTCTTATTTTTTGTTTTGGCCCGAAGCAATCGTGGAAATGATTGAAGAACGAAGCTGCTTCGGGAACTTATAAATTTATCGCTGCTTGCATTCTGTCTCCAAACATCTGCCTCACTTTAGGGAGTATATACTCGTGTGTTCTCTGGGTTTGGCCAGGTTGAGTCAATGAGTTGTCACTCTCACTATTTTTTGTTTTCGGAGCGGCTGTGATACGTGCAGACATGCTGTGAAATTTCTGGCGGCTTGAAACTGTGAGCCGCTGAGCGGCCGCGGGCCGCTGAGCGGCTGCGGGCCGCTGAGCGGCTGTGAGCCGCTGAGCGTCGTTGAGATGCTGTAATTTGGAGTGTTTATTTTCGGTCGCAAGTTTTGGGATCAATTGCTTTTCGTGCCAACTCGCCTTCACTGAAAACCATGGCGTTGGAAAAGGGTCATGAGATGTCCAAGGAAGTCCTTCTACTGAAGGAATACGCGGTTGTGGAGATGCCTTGGGACCATGAAAAGTCCATGAGCGACCTTTGCCACCAGTTTCGCGATGAAAAACTTGAATGGAAAGAATTTGAAGACGACCCTCCCTTTGAAGCTCTACATGACTGGTTGAAGGAGCAGTCCAGAAGTTTGTTTCAAGATGACTATGTGCAGTTGTATGAAGCCTTGCGCTTTGTTGTGCAGGAACATGTTGTTGTGAAGGGTTCTGCCACGATTTTGGTCGTGGACATTGACCAGCAGAATATGAAGTTGGTTTTTTTCCGAAGTTTGCCGATTTCGTAGCTATGGCAACACCTGGGCAGCCAGCTGGAGGGTTTAAAATGTAGTCAAGTGATGGAGCATGCTGCTACTATTTATGTCAATTTCCCAGTGGTTTGGTTTTCGTTGCAGCCAAGACTTTCCGTCCAATCTCAATGCTCTTGTTCCTTCCCAAGAGTTTCTGAGGAACCTTGTCCCTTACCTTCTGATTGAATGAAATAAATCGCAACCAGTGATTGCAGTGGAGACGGGAACTGCAGTGTAAGGGCATAACCAGCTTGAAACGAAACCAAAACATATTTCGAATTTAGGAGTTTTTTGTCGCCATCAGGAGTTAAGCCAATTCCTCTATCTTCTCTGAGATTTTTTTTGTGCGTGGCAGTCATGACAACCAGACACGGCATACATAGTTTTTGTTCCTTGTGGCAACTTGATGGATCGGAAACACCACCACACTTCCTTCCTGAACAGTTTCAAGATTTGGTTGAAAAGAGAAAGAGTGGCAAGAGTAGCACACTTCAGGATCATGTCTGAACTAATTAATCACTTCAGCTCTTTTTATTTAGAAGGTTTGGTGCCATGGCAGCGCCCAGTGAAGCTGACCTGGTGGCGCAGTGGAACTTCGCAGTGTCACAGGGACACTTCTACGATGCTGGTGCCGATGGAGAGATGCCGCGAGAGTTTCTTAGCAAGGCAGTTGCCAGTCCAGTCCAACGACAGGCCCGGGACAGGATGAATTCAATGTGCATTAAAAACTTGTTCTGATTGTTTTCTTCCGACTATGGTTTCTTCATCATTTTTTATCACTCATGGCCCATGGCTCTCACGAACTGTTGTTTGAATGATTTTGGTGGTTAGCCCTTTAATCAAAGGGTCTTGCCACATCAGGATGAAATTGATACTGCTGAAGGGTCGAGGCCACCAGTTGCACCAAATGAGATGCTTGGTTACATGCAGCAGATCCTATTGTTTTTTCTGACATGTTTTCTTTAATTTTTATCTGGCTAGACATCCCAAAAAGTGTTTGCGCGTTCTCGTTTTGAAAGACTGGCTTCAATGAGGACAAGCGCGGCCATGGAAAAGGACCCCTTGACGAGTTCTGTCCTGAATGCAGCTGATGATGCCACGGTTGCAAGTGCTGGAGCAGATGACCTGAAGTTCCTGGTTGGAAACTAGAGAATGTTTGTACGTGGCTTACCTTTTTTTTGACCAGACTTTTCCTGTCGATGAGAAATTTATGGATATTTGGCTTGGAAGGTTTTTTAAAAACCTGTGCTGATTTTCTTGCATCTTTTCCTAAGGCCAGGTTCTCCAAAGTCTTCTGCATCCTCAAGTTCGGCTGCTGCTGAAGCAGGAAATGCTGGAGATGATCGCCTAAAGACTTCGGCATCCTCAAGTTCGGCTGCTGCTGACGCAGGAAGTGTTGGATATGATCGGACGGAGCTGCGAGTTTTGGAGAATCGGAAGTATTTTTGTTAGAAGAGTTTACAGCAAAATTTTCAAAGCCTGGGATTTAACCCGAAACGGCGGGGTGGTTTGCTTAGGTGGGTTGTTTTATCGATAATTTCTTTAAAACAAAGCTTCTTATATCCTCGCATCTCAGGCCCTTGCCTGAATCCACGGTGGCTCCTGGGCGACGTGCCTGGAATGCTGCAGCATCCCACTTGGCATTGGATGAATATTGGTACCATTGGGACCGCCGGCAACGAAATTCGAATGATACTGGCACTTCCCGCCGGAAATTTGTAGAGCAATCAACTGGGAAAAAACGAAAACGTGCAGGACAAAATGTCGAGTGGTATAACCACCAATATGGTAAGCCCTGGAATAACCAGGGCTACTGGCAGTATCAGTAGGGCTTCCGCAGCTGAGGTGTGAGATGAAAAATAGAGCAGTTCAGACAGCTTAACCTCGCAGCTGTGTTGTGCAAGTCTTCTTGGATTGCGTGTCTTTGGTTACTCTAGCTGAGGAAACGTGCTAAGTGAGTTCTTGGGACCCACCTGGCCGCAGTCTTGTAATTTGTTTTTGCGGCAATCCGCAGTGTTTTGAAAATTTGACAAGAGGCTGACGCGTTTCCACGCCTTTTTTTGTAGCTTTTGGAAGCCATGGTCCTTCTCCAGTACAAGCACCAGAACCCAAAGGGCGTGGCTAAGGACAAGAGGGTTCTCACGAGCGGTTCCTGGGCCAAATTGCCCGACATCGCGACTGAGAAGGTCAATGCCATGATGCTGATTCAGCCGAAGTCGAAAACGCCGCCGGAAGCAGTTCTCTGTTTGAGCCCTATGGTCAGCTTCAAGTGGGTCTTCGGCCAGACCATCAACCGAGATGGCCGGAGTGGAGTGTGCCTTTACCGTGCCTCGCTTTTTGCTTTTAAGTTTCATGTCAGGGTTGGTTTCTGATTTATTTCATTTTTGAACGTTTTGGGAGCCAAAATAAACATCAGATCCAGATCGCTACAACAGCAATTTCTCTTTTGGGCGCCAGGTATTCCTTTTCCACCAGGAAAGACAGAACCGAACCTGGGCATGGTGGTGCAGAGCTTGGCTGCTGCTAGCCTGGTTGTCTCTATGCTGGTTGAGCCAGAGGGTACCAAGAAGGTTCGCTTGTCCTTCAACTTGATGTCCGGCGCCGATGTGATGCCTCCTTTGAGCGTCAAGACCACTGAGAAGATTTCAGACCTGGTTCCGAAAGTGAAGCGCGCTTTGGGCAAGACGAAGAAGTTTACCAATGCTGCTCGGTCGTGCTTAATGTTCTTGGTCATTTCGATCAGTTTTAGGATGAAGCAATTCTCTGCAAACATGGTACTTCCCCTTTGCATCGCAACGGCTATGTAAGCCTCCTATTCAACACAAGTTTCCGCTACTACCCAAGGAAAAGAAAGATATTGTAACAAAGATCTTTCAGCAAAAGCACAAGACATGATGACTCTTTTCTAAACATTCGAGAAGTGCCCCATGTTGAGCATGTTTGCCGCACTGAGTTGGAAATCGAACGTGCCAATTTGGTCGTTGGCAACTTTGCGATCAAAAAGGTGCACGAGGAAACCACTGCGGGAAACCTATTGAGCTTGAACGAGCTCACCAACTCCCAGCAAAAGTCTCTGCTCCAATCTGGAGCTTCTTTCTCAAAATTCTTGCCGTAGCCAGTTGCTTGGAAGAAGCATCAGTTTTGCACCTGCCCCGGTAGAAAGTTTTCGAGGATCAATGCTTTGAGGAAAAAAGGCCGCTGGAAACTGCAAACATTCTAAGTAAAGCGCAAATCACCTTGCGCTGAGCGGCCACGTAATTTTGCTAATAAATGAGTCTTGAACCGTGTCATATATTGATCACAGCAAAACAGTGACAGGCTTTAAGTTAAGACAAAATCTTCCGACACTGGCGTTCCAGTTTTGTTCCAGCCTGCCTGCTGTAAGTTTTGTCTTGTTGCCGCTTCTTGGCCTTCGCTGGTTTGGCCTATGAAGGTGACGTGGGTTGCTTCGCATGGCAGAACTTTTGCCGCCTGTGGAGACTTTGTCTGACGATGGTGGAGAAGACGCTGGCCTGCCGCTGGTAGCTGCTCTATCGGATGATGAACCTAGCCGCCCAGAGGCGCTTCAATTGGCAGTGCCGCGTAAAAGGCCTCGAAAAGCCGAGGGGCCGGGCTTTGCTGATGTGGAGAAGCTGCTGAAGCGGTTGGTGCAGTCCAATTGCAGATGTCGGGGAGGAGGATGTAAGATACCTTTTCGAGGTGGACAAGCTTTCGAAGACATTTTGCAGATGCGCTACAGGTTTTCTCATTCAGTCAAGCGAGATGTCGACACAGAGGTGCTTGTTTCCAAAATCACGAACTTTGCTGTTTGCTAGTGACGCCTTCCAGTAATCATAGATAATAGCAATAGCTCAAGCGCCCCGTCAGGTTTTCCAGATGCTGAAGCAGCAGGGGCTTCAAGAGAGACGGGGCCTGCGGCTGGCTGGCCATAGGGTTTGCCAGCGAACTTTCAGGTGTTTCATCGGTCTTGCGAAGAGCCGCTTCTCACGGCTCAGAACTGCTGCTTTGGATGGGGAACAAGTGTGCCCCTTGGATGGGCGCAGTGTTCCGAAAGAGAAGAGTGTGTTGCCGCACAACAGCTGCCGAGCGGAGGTGGTAGAGTTCTTGGAGCAGCTCTATCATACTGTAGCTGAACCTCTTCCCGAAGCTGGCAATGAGATGCTGAGATTGAATTTGGGAGTGAAGAGCAAGCGCCGCGGGAAGAGACCCCGTTCCATCTTCAAGAAGGAGACCTTTGAGAAGGGCTTTGCACCTGGTACCAAATTCTTGCCGCCCGGCACGTTGGGGGAATACCTTGAGCAATGTCGATCCGAGTTTCCGTCCAAAACCATTGGCAGAAAAGTGTTTTGTCGAGTTTCTTGTCATTGTTTTAGGGTGCACTTTTGATTTTTGTCAATACGAGGGCGGATGTTTTTATGCCGTGGCCCTCTGAGAAAATTCTGGGGAAATCTTGCTTTTGAAAATGGTTTCCCAGGATGCACCTCAATCCAGGTTTGGGAAGAGAGTTACCGAGACCGGTTGGTCATCCGGCCAAAGACTCAACACGCCAAGCGTGGCCAATGTGTAAAATACAAACTGTTGCTCAAACGTCTTGTATCCAACCCGGTGGCCAAGCGCAGCCAGATGGCAGCTTTCAGGCAACATTTGCGGCAACAATATCACGACAGAACTATGTATTGGCGCTCCCGCTCTCTGAGCCGTATGGGTGGCCTTGGAGAGGACATGACCAGAACCATCAGCATCTGCCTTGATTCTATAGACCATTCAAAGTTTCCATTGCCTAAGTCGGCAGCAATGGGAAGCAAGTGTTTTGCTGGATATATCAAGCCATCCCTGACGGTGACAGGGGTGCTGCTTCACGGCCTAGCTGCCTTCCTTGTGGTTGGGGAGCCGCACTTGCAGAAAGACGGCTGCTGGACAGCCGAAATTTTGGCCTATTGCATGCATGTTCTGTGTGGTTTGCCGTGGCTCGATGTGTCCCGTTGTCACATCAGATGCCACGGCGACAACAGCAGCCGCGAGCTGAAGAATAATTGCCTCACCCGGCTTCTTGCCGGGATGGTATCTAGTGGCCGTGTCCGCTCTGCATGTTTAGAGACATTGCAGAGCGGGCACAGCCACGAGGACATAGATCAATGGTTCAGTTCTCTATCAACATTTGTGACCAACGAGCAAGAACTGCACACCACTGAGGAGTATCTCAATGCTTTGCAAAAGTTTCTCGACCAGCCCCACAACCGGCCTCATGAACATGTGAAGCGTGTAATCCACATCGACCAGGTCAGGAATTGGATTTTCGGATGATATTTGACGGTTTTTCTTACTTCATTGCTGACACATGTTTTAAACATCAACTTAACATTTGGTTCCTATTCCCAAATCAGCCCATAAGTTTTTTAGTTGCACGGGTTTGGCCCTTTCTCGGGGGAATCACGCTCAGGCGTGACCACCTGCAGCTTTTGTGCTGCAACAACAAGCTGGTTGGCATTGGGGGTCCCGGAGCGCCACATCTTTACCATTTCAGTCAGTTCCAGCATTCAGGACTGAATTCAACATTATTGCACACGGTTATCAACCCCGCCACCTGATCATTTTTTCAATATTTAGCCTTCGCCCTCCAGGGCACTTGTTGCAAGTCAAGAAAATAGATTCAAGCGAAAGACCCTCCAGGCCGCTTGTTGCACGTCAAGAAAATAGATTCAAGCGAAAGACAATTCCGAAACAAAGTTTGAAATCGCTAAGGAAAAGGCATGTTTATTTGGTTGCTCTAAATGAACACGCAAATGAACACGCCTTTTTTGGGGTCATGTTGGGACCATGTTGATGCCATTATTCCAACAAGTGTCCTTGGCAACCCCTTTTTGACTCCACCAAAGGCCCTCCAGGTCACTGGATGCAAGTCACGAATAATAGGTTCAAGTGAAAGGCAAACCCGAAACTATAAGTTGGAAATCGACAGCGCCCTGCATGGGGTCTATGTTGGGTTATCGTGTTGTGTTGGGGCCATGTTGATACCGTGCCGAGTCACTTGGAACTTTATTTCGACAATGCTAGGCCTATGAAGTTCCCTGAGGTCTCTGTAGGCCCCCTTTTGGTCCCAAAAAATGGTGTTCATCCGAGCCCCTCGCGAAGGGCTCGGATGAACACCCCCGTTTGATGCAAACAATTCGGGTATCGACCCACCCTTTTGGGTCGCAGAGACCTCCATGGAACCCTATAGCTAAGCCCATGTTGAATCATCTAAAGTAGCACGCTAGGGAATATGCCAGTTCGGGATTATTGCTTCCAACCAGCTTTCAACAACCAACCCGACATGAAAGCTGTTAAAGTGTGTTTGTGTTGTTTTTATTCTTCAGTTTTGCGTTGCCTCTGTTTTTTGTCAAAAATGCAAGTGCAAGAAAATACACATGGACAGGTTTGCATGTTCCAGGCGAACTCGAGGAATGTGATCTTGCAATTAAAACCTTCTGTTTTGAGTTAGACTATCATGTCATACTCGTTGTTTGTGACCGGGAGGGGTCGATTCCACAGGACTGCGCAGGGAAGCCATTAACCATACATTCTGGGATCGGCGACGGGTGCCACGGTCTGACAACGATGTTGTGCTGAGGACCGCCTGTGGGCTCCTAGGCATTTTACAAAATTCCATCTCTTTGGTGATCTTTGCGATGAGAAAGACCATTGCGCAGTGACTGTTGGCCGTGATGTTGTTTGTTCTACTTGGTACGTGCTGTTACCTAAAAGAACCATGCCATATCAGTTTGAAATTAACTTGAAAACCCATCGCCAATGCCAGGATGAAGCAGTACATGAGCGATGAAGAGTACATTGAGCCGGCAATTTTGTATTTGCCTCATCGGGTGGTGCCTTGTACTTCATTCTTGGCGCCTCAAGGTTTCTAGTCCAAAATTCATTTCCTTCCTTGACATCCCAAGATTTTTCCGGTACGCCGCAGCGAACAAAAATATTGCAGGGAAACTGTTTTTTGAAAGCTCTCAGCCTTTGGATCGATCCTGAGTCAGTTTCCTGCGAGGTTCTCTGCATTTCCCCACCTGCCAGGTGAGGGTTGTTAGATTTTATCAGAGTTGTTCTTCTCTTCCTCCTCCTCCTTCCTCCTCCTTCTCCTCCTCCTCTTCTGCCACCTCTGCCTCCACTTCCACGTCCACTGTTGCCTTGCCAACTCTTGGCCAAGCCCTTCGCCAACTTCGGAGCTCAGTGCGCACTGCTGGACCTCAACCTGATACCTCCCCAGCTCAGTGCGCACCGCTGGACCTCAAAAGCCAGATAGAATGCCAGAATATATGGCAGATAGAATGTCAGATAGAATGCGAGAAGATATGCCAGATAAAATGCCATAAGATATGCCAGATAGAGTGCCAGGAGATATGCCAGATAGTGTTAGAATGCCAGAAGGTATGCAACGCCAGATAATATGTCAGATAGAATATATGTCAGATAAAGTGATGTTTGCCAGATAGAATGCCAGAAGATTTGCCAGATGATATGCCAGAAGACATGCCAGATAGAATGCCAGATGGAATGCCAGAAGATATGCCAGAGCATCTGCCAGAAGATATGCCAGATCGAATGCCAGAAGATATGTCAGATAGAATGCCAGAAGATTTGCCAGTAACAAAACGTATAAATGTCATGGCGGGGATCCCTCGAAGTAAAGTAATTTTGAAGATTTGCGTGCTTTCCCCATGAGAAGACCCAGTTGTGTTTTCGGGGGCGCAATGCTGCGCCATGAGGCCTCAATCCTGATCGGAAAAGACGCGCTGATGACAAATCTGCAGACCCCCAGAAGTTATTGAAGTATGCTGAAAAAATGAGTGTCTAGACTGCAAAGGGTAACGTTTCATATTGGATTGTACTGTACTAGGCAAATCCATTGGTGTCTTCCATTTTTTCCTACGATGCCATGCTGTCACGCTGTTTTCATGCCAGGAGAGAGCCCTTATCTAATGCACGCAGCAGCGGACCAGCTGACAAAGATGGCAAAGGGCACCTGGGATCGAAAACCCTTGCTGCCTTTGGGAGCGTGCCTCGCCAAGAATATCTAGATCATGCCCGCCCACAAAGATCATAACTTCTTTTTTGCGTCAGCAAATCGTCAAGATAAACTAAAGGAATCCATGGTAGGCTTCAATCTGTCAAATGTGCGGCTGAGCTAAACAGGGCACAATTGAGCAGAGATTTTCGTCTTGTGGAAATTCTGTGATTTGCGCCCGATGTGCTTGAAGGGGACGGTTTCTATTGTTTGGCCACATTGAAAGGGATAGAGGTCTTATCAAACAGATAACAATCGCCATGGTTTTGATGTGATTCAGGATGCAACTGGTGGTAGCGAACATGGATGGGTGAGTACAAAGTTTGGCATACAGAGAAAATACATGTACTGATTTGTTTTGCCTCATTCTCCAAAACGCCTGTTTTTGGAATCCCAGGTGTTTTGCCGTGGGGCCAAATGTTGGGCCTGCTGCCATGGCTGCAATGCCCGAAGCAGTCCACATGAACCCAGTGCCTTTGGCTGCAAGCCGTGCTAGCTTCTCACCACCACCGGGTTTCCAGAGAGAGGGTTTTCCAGTATCCTTTCAATTTCCTTTCCCGTATCATGTAGACATGGCATGTCAGGTCAATGATTTGCAAGCCCAGGCATTTGTGCTGGGTTCCCTTCACAAGAGGCCATCAATTTCTTCAAATTTAAGAATAGTGCCCAATCATCAAAATAATCTTTCCCAAAAGGAAGTGTTCCTGTGGACGCCAGCCCAGGACCCCAATGAAGTGCGGCTCCAGCGTGAAGTCTTGGACAGAAATCAGTTGCTTCGCTTCACAAGCGACACGCGCAAGCGCGAAAAGTCGCGTGTAGTGGCCAACCTTTGGTCTCAAGGGCTTGAATTTCTTGAGGCCCTGCGCATCGTAGATGAAGCTTTCCAAGATTCTTGAGGAGTAGGTAGGTTTCTCTGGTCGTGCCACTAGAAGCCGCGCATCACATTTAAGTGGTGGAAAAACAAGAGATTCATCACAGCTGAGAGCTTGTTTGGCACCGTTCTACATGTGATGAACGTCGCCGTAGGTCATCACAAGAGCGCGGTTTCCAAGTTGTTTTTTGTTTTATTTTAGGAATGGCATGCCTATTTTGCATCCCGAGCTTGCTTTTGAATGAAAGCATGATGAATGGCGGCGCCGCTCATCACAGGTAGCTTTTGGATATAGCCCATTATCTCTGTGATGAATGAATGTTTTTCTATTCTTTTTTTTGTGATGTAAGGATATCGCGTGCAGGGTTTCACCATTGTCGACTGAACTTTTGTGATGAATAGCGACGCTATTCATCACAAAAATTGTTCAAAACCTTTTGTCATTGTGTGAGTTTAGGGTTTAGGGTTCAGTGAAACACTATTTTCATTTCGATGGGCATGTGGATACTACATTGGAACACGAAGGAGGCAATTTTTTGTGATGAATGGCGTCGTTATTCATCACAAAAAATGTCTCAAACCATTTGCCATTGTGTGAGTTTAGGGTTTAGGGTTCAGTGGAATACCATTGTGGTCTCGATGGGCAGGATGCATTCTAGATTGGAACATGAAAGGGTGCAAACTTTTGTGATGAATAGTGTTGCTATTCATCACAAAAATCGGTCCAATCATTTGTCATTGTGTGAGTTTAGAGTTTACGGTTCAGCGAAACTCTAACGTGATCTGCACCAGCTTCGTCATCATTTGCGAGTTTAGGGTTTAAAGTCCATTGAAATCACATTGTGATTGTAGAGGGGCGGGTGGATATTACCTTGAACTTAAACCCTAAAACCTTAAAACCCTAAATCCAAAAAGCCCTAAACCCTAAACCCTAAAACCTTAAAACCCTAAACCCTAAAACCCAAAACCCTAAACCCTAAAACCCAAAACCCAAAACCCTAAAACCTTAAAACCCTAAATCCAAAAAACCCTAAACCCTAAAACCCTAAAACCTTAAAACCCTAAACCCTAAATCCAAAACCCTAAACCCTAAACCCTAAAACACTAAACCCTAAAACCCAAAACCCAAAACCCTAAAACCCAAAACCCAAAACCCTAAAACCTTAAAACCCTAAAACCCTAAACCTTAAACCCTAAACCCTAAAACCTTAAAACCCTAAATCCAAAACCCTAAAACCCAAACCCTAAAACCCAAAACCCAAAACCCTAAAACATTAAAACCCTAAAACATTAAAACCCTAAACCCTAAAACCCTAAAACCTTAAAACCCTAAATCCAAAACCCTAAACCCTAAACCCTAAAACACTAAACCCTAAAACCCAAAACCCAAAACCCTAAAACCTTAAAACCCTAAAACCCTAAACCCTAAACCCTAAAACCCTAAACCCTAAAACCCAAAACCCAAAACCCTAAAACCCAAAACCCTAAATATTTTTGTGAAATAGGAGAATTTGGAGTCTGGGCTCTATTTTCGAGATTTGGAAAGGCTCAAAAAAATCACAGGCGCTCTGACGAACATGCCGCCGCAACGGAGAAAGTCTGAGCAAGGAGCTTCTAGTGCCCCTGGCTCGGGCAAGAAAGGCCGCATTGAGCATTATGGTTTTTCACCCACCAAATCAATGCTGCCTGAAGCCGAAGCCGCTTGCAAATTGTTGCGAGACTGGGTGTCAGGGCCTCATGGAGTTTCACATGTTCCTTGCTCTAGGTCGGCTTTTCTGTGTCATTCCAAGGTCGAATAAAATTTCGACCCACGAGAACATGCACAAGTATGTTGAGGCAACCATTGGCACAGAGGTGCCTGCCCATGTCATGTGCTCGTCTTCCAACAATGGGGGTCTCATGGAATTGTTAGTTGCAGCACGGTCCAGGAGACAATCAAAAGTTTCTTCCAATGGACGGACACGGCCTTCCCAGCCCGGAATGGAGCGTCATCGCCCCAGAATGCCTTCCCACGGCCATGTCTTTCCTTATGAAGCTTGTGAAAAATGTATTTTTGGATCCCTTTGTCAAAACTTTGACTGTAGTTTTAAATCAAATCCAAAGGGGATGATACTGCTGGTTTTGGGGGGAAACAACTAAGGCAGTATGCTCGCAGGAGCGATCTTCTAACTGCCGGCACGGGGGTCTTGCTGCGCCCTTGGCATTTGGCTTTTGCCCCAGAGGCAGGCTTCAAGGGATACGTTGAGCCAGTCAGATGCTCAGATAAAAAACACCCCTTTGGACAAGTGCTGCATTGGGTGTTTCGTTTGCATTTAAAAAGTTCACTGTCCGTGTGGGCCCACTTTGAAGGATGTGATCAGTATGCTGACTGGCCTGATCTGTGGGTTTGGGTTCGGCACCGAGTTCGAGATTGTATTTCCCTATTCTTGCACTCTTGTGAATTCGCGCGTTTGGCCAAGGTTTCAAACAGATCCCAACCAAGGGGCGACAGAGAAACTCACTGTGTGTCTTCTGCCGCCCCGGGTCTATGACCGCCGCCCAGTCATTCCGGCGAGCGATGTGTGCTCAGATTCAAGCCTCTTGGATCCCATCAGCTTGCTGTGTGTGAAAGGCTGGTCGCGTTCATTTTGCGCGGTGCTGGTCATGCTGGCGGCTTTTGAAATGAAGGAGCTGTATGAGGCGACTGCTAATCTGGATTTTTCTGACCTGCTGCTGTTTTTGTCTTTCAGTGCATGATGGTGCAGGCCATGCCGGCAGAGGTGAAGGAGACTGGCTCTCAGAGCTAGCTTTTTCAAGTAATCCTAGATAATCCTGTGATGGTTGCAAAAGGTTTCCCAGCTCACTCACTGTTTCAATTGATGTCTCAAGTTTTTACCTCCTGTGATTGTTCTCAGGTCTTTTTCCATGATCCACGGCGCGGTTCAGACAGTGGATGTCACGGCCGACGGAGTTCCTGGGCTTGTTGCCCAGAACCGAGGCCACTTTGAAACTTTCTGGCTGGTCTTGGATTTTTTTGATACTGTGAATCCGATACTGTCAGATCCCATCGTGCAGGGCTGACGCTTCAGAGCGTCAGCGTTCGGCGAAAGCCGAACGCTTTCAATCTGTTGTGGCAAATGAAGTTGGTTCGAGGGTATGGGGATACAGCAAGCTTCGAACAGGCCCGGCTTGGTTTGGGTTGTGTTTCGGTGTTCTGCATGTGCTCGTTTTCTTCCATTGATTCAGAATTTCTCTCATTCCCCACCTGCCAGGTGAGGGTTGTTAGATTAGATTTTATCAGAGTTGTTCTTCTCCCCCTTCTCCTCCTTCTCCTCCTTCTCCTCCTTCTCCTCTTTCTCCTCCTTCTCCTCCTCCGCGTCCTCCTCCTCTTCTACCACCTCTGCCTCCACTTCCACGGCCAAGCTCTTCGCCAACTTCGGAGCTCAGTGCGCACTGCTGGACCTCAACCTGGGACCTTCCTAGCTCAGTGCGCACCGCTGGACTTCAACCTGGGACCTGCCGAGCTCAGTGCGCACCGCTGGACCTCAACCTGGGGCCTTCCGAGCTCAGTGTGCACCGCGGGACCTCAAAAGCCAGATAGAATGCCAGAAGATATGCCAGATAGAATGTCAGATAGAATGCGAGAAGATATGCCAGATAAAATGCCATAGAGTGTCAGGAGATATGCCAGATAGAATGTTAGAAGATATGCCAGATAGAATGCCAGAAGGTATGCCAGATAGAATGCCAGAAGGTATGCCAGATAGAATGCCAGATAAAATGTCAGATAGAATGCCAGAAGATGTGCCAGATAAAGTGCCAGAATGTTTGCCAGATAGAATGCCAGAAGATTTGAGTAGATAATATGCCAGAAGATATGCCAGAGAGAATGCCAGAGAGAATGCCAGAAGATATGCCAGATAGAATGCCAGATAGAATGCCAGAAGATATGTCAGATAGAATGCCAGAAGATTTGCCAGTAACAAAATGTATAAATGTCATGGTTGGGATCACACGAAGTAAAGTAATTTGTTGTTTTTTTTTTGTGGGCAGGCTTGGGCGGACGTGAGCGAGTTCCAGACCGCCATGCAGATTGGCAAGCAGGAGGCCACGGCTGCAATGTTTTTGATGAACGACATCGACCAGCGGGTCGCAAATCGGCTTTCTTCCTTGGTCATGATTCTCTGCTAGCATTAATTGTCAGACTCCATTTTCTGCTTCTGACATATTGAGGGTCCTTTGCGCCGCGCCTTTGTCAGGAAATGGTCGCAACCCAAATTTATCTATCACGAAGCCATCGCAGCCGGATTTCTGAATTCCAGCTTCAATTCAGGAACGGGGAGCCTCTTGAGCTGGGAGAGGCATCTCCTGAACTCTTATGAAGTGACTTCACTCCTCATAGAACGGATGGCTTCTGACTATGAAAGAGCAGGCGCCAAACTTCGGAAACCTTACACAGCCCCGCAGATTGAGACTTTGTCGCGTTGATTTTTCACAGTGGTCTTCAAAGCAATCCATGCCATCAATTTTCAATTGTTCTCAAATTAAAGTTGAAGTAATTTGAGAGCCAGCGGCGTTTGGAGCCGCTTTGTTTAGGAAACATTGCAGCGCATCTGTGGAGCCTTTGTGGCCGCCTTGGCCTCTTTGAGGGCGAAGGTGCCAGAGGCATTCTTGCAACAGCACATGCCCGATCTGGAGAAGCAGCTTCTCATCTTCAGCAGGTGAACAGTTGGCTGATATTCTTCTAACGAAGCAGTGGTTTTGGCCAACCGAGGTTTTTCCAGAAGCATTTGGACGGTGATCTTGATTTGTTGCTGCGAAGCACGGTGCCACCGGTTCAGTTGGAGAAGGTCTCAGCGATGCGGTCGGTGCTCTTCAAGTACCAGCGCCACGTGCATTCCCGAGATAATTTGTTGAGCGTGTAACTGAATAACGCCAGCAGGAAGTAGTCAATTTTACTTGCAGTGCCACTTGAAGCTTCCTTTTGGCACAACTTGCAGTGCGCAATCAGGTGGACCAACAGCAGGAACAGAACATGGAGCAGCTCCTTTGCTTCATGCTGTTGCTGGATGAGGTAAAGACACATATTTTTTATGTTCGGTAATTGCCCAGCTCAGGTTGCATTCTGAAATGCAGAAGCTCACCTTCAAGCAAACCAGTGAGTCGGTCCAAGCAGATTTGCACTTGATGTCGGAGTGGGCTGACCAGCACGCGGATTTCCACAACCGGCAGGGTCTGTTGGACTTGAGGTACCTGAATGACCGTTTCCAAACCGGAAAGTCCCGTGTCGAGGCACTCATGGCTTCAAAGCACATGTACGTCCTTCCCAGCGACAACCGACTCTCTCCGCATGCAGAGATCCTCCGCTTCCAGAATGTGTTGGGTGGAGGTGCCCAGCCGTTCCTTGAAATATATAGCAGCTTTTTGGGCAGCCAATGTCTTGTGATCTTCTTCTTCGCTTTGATTCAAACTTGTTTCTTGTCGAGATTGCAAAGCAAAGGTTCATTTTGCTTGTCTTGGACGCCACAAGCTGGCCAACCAGTGGCTGACCAAATTTCATCAGCCTGCGCGTTTTTTTTTAGGCAATGCCATTAAAAGCATGAAGTAGGGGTTTTCTTCTCAGTAATTTGCAAGCAATGCCAGGAGGAGGTATCATCGACGACAGCCTTGAAGTCAGCGATGCCATCATGAACGGAAACCCAAATGCAGTCCTCCTGTGCCTGGCTCCTGCTTCCCATTCGAATGTGCGACAGGAAGCCGTGGTGCAGAAGAGACGGCAGCTAGAAGATAGACTGTTAGGGTCACTTGTCTTGAAGCGCGTCTGACAGATTCATTATTGTTGTCTGTTGTTCGAGCAGCTTTGGTGTTTGTAGATGCCCAGTAAAGAACAATTTTAACTTGGAAAGCTTTCAGGGCCACGCAGACTGCAGGGCATTTGACGTGTCCGAGACCACTTTGGTGTTTGCAGATAGCGGCCATGCTTCTGACCGACGCAAGAAGAGCCAATTTGGACCCTTGACCATCTATCCCGTTTTTTCCTCTGTGGGTCTGTTTTCTGCTTTACCCTTTCTAGCTGCAGCTTGATAATTACATGTGCCAAGATTCTTTTTGACGCCGCGCTAGCTAATGCCTTTTCCGTTGTCTCCAGGCTGGATTTGCGTGTCCAAGTTGCACAGCAAGTCTCCATGGCACAAGTCCAAGGGCATGCAAGGGACGATTGGCCCAATTGAGAGGGCTCGCGTGATGGATCTCCAATCGCCTCAGGATGACAAGCCTTTGACTCCAGCGCACCGAGTGCCTTTGTCAGCTCTTTCGAAGTTGAAGATATTGTTTGTTTTTAATTGCTTGGTCGGGCTGGTCTGGCAAATTGCTCGATAAAGTGTTTCTTTCAAGCATTCCCTGTGGTGCAGGTGATGCAGAAGGGAATTCCTGGCATTCTCCAAATCATCACCCAGATGCTCGATGGCTTAAGTCTTGGAGCCACTGAGAAGGTCTTGATTGTGGACTGCATGTGCAATCGCTTCAACGAGTGGGGTTTGGCAAGCTGGAAGGTCCAGCAGGACGTTCTGGCATCGTCAACAGGGGCGATTTGCGATTTGCATTTTATGGGATTTGTTTGGGCCGAGGAGGATGGTGAGTTCAGTGACCGTCTGCCAAGCCAAATCTCGGCTCAGATGTTGGAGGACTCTTGTTGCTAACTTTAGGAGAATTTAATGTTTTGTGGTGATTTTCAAAACCAATATGTAATATGCATAGTTATTTGCATAAATGTAATTTACATAACTTTAATGTGTATGAATAGATGAAATTATTGATAGTGTATTATTGATAGTGTTTGTAGACACAAACAAATACATATTATGTAATATATATATATACTGTATATACTCTCTTTGTTTTAGTATATACCATCGGTGTCTTGAGGATTGGTGGGACAGCAGCGTGGAGGCTGGGCCCAAGAGACGTGCATCAGAAGCCTTTGGGCTCCCCCGGCCAACGCTGGCTGTCCTTTGCTTCACCAACAATGAGCTGAAGATGCTTGGATCTGCTTGGGCCTTTTTTTCTCCCAGCAAGGATTTTTGATTCGATATCACCTTTCCCAACATCAATCCACTTATTTTTACCACTTGTTTTTCTCTATAACGTGCCCCAGTAGTGTGTGGAACTGAGGGTGCCCGGTGCTGTTTCGGAACCATTATCGACTTCAAACGATGACTCCCTCAAGAAGGGCATTGAAGGTCTTGAGTTGGTGGTCAAGCAGTGGAACCAAGCTCGGGCCGCCCAGTTCGGAGAGGCTGCTTCATCAGAACATGCCCGCAATGGTCAGAGCTCTGAGTCAGCTGGAACAGCAGGCAATGGCAATCGCACATTCAGCAGGCCTGTATTTGCACCTGATGAGCGCAAGATCGACATATCCGCCAATCATCTGTTCTGTGATGATCATGTCGTCAACATCGAGCATTTTGAAGCAAACAGTGAGATCCTGGGCTGGACTTTATATTTTCATCTTTTGTGTTTTCCTTGGTGACCACCTCATCTCGACTGTTCGCGTTCATTCCTGCCACCAGGATTGTGGCAGCGGGCATGTCGGTATCCCAGCAACACGTCAAAGTCTATGTGACGAAGGATCACGCGCTGCATTTAGCCAACCTTGCAGAGCGAGATTTGTCCCTGAGTGCTTGCGAGCTGTTTGGCTTTGGCCTTGGCAGCTGGAGTCTCCTTGTGCAAGGACCAGATCAAGCGGTTTTGAAGGTTTTGGGCCATGTATCTCTTTTCCAGTCGCGGCATTTTTTGTTATTATGTGGGATTGGGACATGTTCATTTTCAGGAGTGGCCCGCCAGAGTGTTCGTCAGTGCTTCCCTTGGCTTTTGGCCAGCGATGCAGATGCAGTCGTGTCTGTTGATGGGCGGGAGAAGAAGATCCTGGCAGTATCAGAGATGCTGTGTGACGCTGCGTCCAAGCACGGCATTATGGATTTTGCTTGTCATGACTATGATATGGTGCAGAAGACACAGGTTCGTTTAAAAAAATGACCACTGTTTGCTGCTAAACTTTTCGAGTTGATAGGCTTGAAAGCATCTCTTCATTTTGCATTTCCATGGAAGGCCAATGGAAACCCGGAGAGTTGGCGGTACCAACTGACCGCCCGGACCAAATTGAGTGTCTACACGCCGAAGCCCTTGCCTGATGATGTCGATAAGCTCAACATACGTGGCAGCATGCTCGGTGCTGCTTACCATGACAAGTACGACAAACTTCCCCGAAACAAGTTGGTCCAAACACTGTTTGAGGCCACTCAGCTGAAAGAATCCTCCTTACGGTTGCAGGTTCCTGTTCCCCTCAACCTTTGTTTCAACCTGCTGTTTCTGAACGTGCCCTCTTCTGCCTGTTAGGTTGGATGTGAGCGCGGCGTTCCCTGCATCCTGCAGCCCAAGAAGCCGAAATGCTGGCTGGTGTGCAACATGAAGCTACGAGCCGGTCATGTTCATTGCCTGACTGTGTGATGACACATTCAGTGTGAGGCCATGTGTCGCATGTGCATTGCGGAGTTTTGAGCAAGGCTGCAAGGTCCTTTCGTGTCGTGACTTAATTTAACTTTTGTTTAAAACCATTCTCTTGGCGAAAAAACACAGTCATCAAGATATAATTGCAGCGACGTTCTCGCATGCTGTGCTTTTGGCAACAAGGTTGTCATATAACTTGCTATGATGCATTGTTCCAATCACTGTTCGGATCTCGTGGAACAAAAGAGCGGCCGCGAGCCGCTGCCAAGTTGATTCATGAGTTGGGGTGGACTCAGACTTCGCCACTGTGTATCGGGAAGCCTTGTGACAAGGTGAGCGGCAGCCTGTGACCTCAAACTTCCTTTTCTCCCCACCACTTTGCCATGGCTGAAGAGTCCACTTTGCCTGACGTGACGAAGCTTTCAGATGATGAAGTAGTAACGACACCGGTTGGCAAGCCGACCAAAGCTTTGTCTTCACCGAGTGCCCCTGAGAAGGTCAAGGTCAAGGCCAAGGCCAAGGCCGAGGCCAAGGCCGTTGTCCAGAAAAGGCCGGCTACTCGCAGCACAGTGTTGAAGCGGCCTGCTGCCAGATCGGACGATGCAGAAGAGTCAGAGTCAATGCCGGTCAAACGACCAGCCACCGCGGGTGCTGAGCATGGTGGAGATTCAGATGGTCCAATCAAAGCTTACAAGGAGTTTCGCAGAGCCACTGGAAGCTATAGCATCAGGGTCAAGAAGGGCGATGGTCCGAAGAGGGAGCTCTTCAGGGTCTGGGTTGAAAATTTGGTTGGTTCATGCCAGTTTTTTCAAGTGATTTTTGGTATTATACAATTTTAAGGTTTTCAACTTGGTGCGTTCCAAATTGCGATGGTTGTGCAGTTCCTGGCTGATTGTTGCCGATTGTGCGGGTCCATGGACAGGAAGGACTTTCAGACGAAGCGCAAAGGGATGTGGCCGATACTCTGATCTAATTATTTTCTACCTTTCAGGAAATTGTCAACTTTTCCTTTTTGATGTGGGTGCGATATTTTTTTCTAGTGGTCATTTAAAGCCAGGAATGTTGCCGAGCAGCTTTCGAAGCAGGCAAAGAGAAAGAGGATGTGGCGATGCTCTTTGATTCTCGGACATCGAGATTTGTTTTGATGTTGTTACGATCTTGTGCCGTACGCCTTTGACGGCTTGAACTGAGCGGCCACGGGCCGCTGAGCGGCCACGGGCCGCTGAGCGGCCACAGGCCGCTGAGCGGCTGCGAGTCGCTGAGCATCCTTGAGATGCTGCAACTATTTATTTTGTCGTTATTTTGGAATCAACTGCTTTTCCCTTTCCTTGTGAGGAAGAGATGCTGAAGCAGCCACGTGCGAAGCAAGCTGAGCCACCAGAATCGGAGCAGGCTGCGGCTGAGCCCTTGATGGACGGATCCGCTACGTTGGAGGATGGTGGTGAGCCTGAGGAAGGCGAAGAGGAACGCCAGGAGGTCGATGCGGCTGTCGAAGTTTCTTCAAAAGATGTTGATTGAACATCTCACAAGTAGCCAGCTCGACTCCTGCTTGGATCCTGTCCGGGTGAGAAAAAGGCGTACGGATGCAGAAATTCCTGTCTCATTTTTTTTAGCGAACATGCCACGGCGGGTTTGATTTTTCGAAAGCAGCACGATTCTGACATTGCTGGTAACTATTTTTTTGGCACGTAGGAATTTTGGCAAACGCCCGTTTCAAGCAGTCAGCGATTGAACGCCAATAGCCTTACACCTTCCAATAGCCTAATAACTTTTAAAACCACCTGTTATTAATCCCAAGCTCTGAACCCCAAAACCCTACATCTTTTTCAGAGCCCGAAACAGCCTTCGGTCCTTCCATATCCTTAAACCTTCAAATAGTTCAGCAGTTAAACTTAATCATTATTAAAATCAACCCCTGAAGTCCAATAACCCTAAGCCGTCCAAGCCCTAAATGGTTGAAAGCCCATAGGTTTTCACGTTAAACGAGATTAGTTAGTGCAAGGTTAGTTAGTGCAAGATTATAGTTGAGTAGTGACGCCAGGGGTGCTTTGACGTGCGTACAAGGCTGTAACTTCTGACCTCGCCAGCCACTGGAGCAGATCATCACATTTAGACCTGCCATCATATTCTGTGAAGCACCCGCCCAACTTGTGAAGTTACATTGGACCTGGTATTATCCACATAAAGTTGGGTTTAAGCTTCTGCCATTTCACAAGTTGGAAGCTACCGCCCTCCCACATGTTGAAAGCTTGAAACGCTGTGTGCCCCCAGATAGGTTTTGTGCCCCCATTTAGGGGGAGCGAGCCTTATAACTGCATCCATATGACCCGTCATGCAAAAGAAATAGCCCTTGACTTCATCCGCCTCCAACGAAGACGGCATAAAATATAACTTCAGCCCTCAGCTTTGAAACCAGTAGCACTGCCTCCAAAAATCTCAAAACTGATAACTGGCCCTCATGCAGACTGTCGCCCGGTGTTTCGTCTCCATCAATGTTCCAACTTCCCAGAAACAATGTCGCTCGCCAGCAAGATGAGAAGCCAACCCGCTTCTATCTCCAGAAACCAGCTACGGAGACTCCAGTCAGTTCGCAACGATGCACAAGACAAACCATGGCTTCGATTGGAATTCACGACAGTGTTGTTGCAAAAGAGAGAAAACATCCCCAGAGAACACACACGAGCGCAAACATCCACTGACGAAGCACTCCGCAGAGCTCTATGAGGACTCACACATTAACATGAGAGGAACCCTTAAACAGGTCGAATCATCACTGGCCAACGACAACCCTGGTGCAAAACCGAAAACGACGTTCCAAAATGGAGCACAGATCCAACAAATGACAAAGCCAATGTCCTCACACCTCGTGAAGACACTGAACCAAGGCCATTAGATGATTACAAAGTCATCTGAAATCGTCCGGATGACGGTCCAAAGTCCATCACAAGCTCTCAAGTCCAGTCCGAAATCGTCCCAACACACAACATCCGACCGAAACACTGCTGAAACAAGTCAAAACCAAAGTCTCACATGGCCACCATGCACACCTATTGATAACTCCGGACATTTCCAGATGTCCACTTACCTACTGCCATTTTTTGTGGTCGGCGCCCGTTGCCTTTCGGCGGGTCGCACTTGAGACTCCCGAGTGGACCAGCAGGGATTCGAACCACCACCGGCAGTCTGTCAGCGCTGGCAAGACCAACGCCATACCAACTGAGCCATCGGGTCGCCTGTCCACTTACCTACTGCCAATGCAATCACTCAGGTATTTCCAAATGCAGCTTCTCAGGCATTTCCAGATGCCTCTTTCTCAACATGATACAGCGACTGCATTTCCTCTTTTGCCGATATCGGTCACGACGCTACAGGTGCTGAGATGAAAAGATATTCGGATGTCGAGTGAACCTCGGACCATGCATACCATCAACTGCTCGCCATTCTCTCTCCATCAAAAAGAAAAAACATCTTTGCTCTCAACTGCAAAGGAGGCGCTCTCAGATACGTTCAACACGATAAACTCGATGAGATTGAAGACGGGTCGCTTAAGGTCTGAACCTTGAGTTTTCAAATTCACAAGCTAATGCAGTTTCAGATATCAGTTCAAGTTCACAAGTTCCCTCGGCTGTTTCAGCGGCTCCAAATTCCCGCGTCGTTTCCGAACCTCCGTTTTCACCGGATGTCAATGCAGTTTCACATTTTGCACCTAGTCCAATTTCTTTGGAAGAGATCTCAATTAAATTGAATTCAGATTTGGAAAAACCAGTGAAAAACCAGGCGAGCCGACCAACTGATGATGTGAAAATTGAGTCTGGTTGCACTGGTCCACCGTTGGTTGCAAGATACGGTGGGAAAGCTCAACCGTTTTGCGACGGCATGGGTTTATGTTGCCCGGACCGCTGGCACCCCAAAATGAGACAGGCGGCCCGATGGCTCAGTTGGTATGGCGTTGGTCTTGCCAGCGCTGACAGACTGCCGGTGGTGGTTCGAATCCCTGCTGGTCCACTCGGGAGTGTCAAGTGCGACCCGCCGAAAGACAACGGGCGCCGACCACAAAAAATGGCACCCCAAAATGAGACACACGAGTCGCACAGCGAAGCAGCGTTCTTTTTGTAAGAGTTTGAGAGACCTAGTGGACGATTTCTGCAGTCTTCAGAGGTCGGAGCTCTTCATGGGCAAGCATGTCAGCAGAGTTGCTTGCATCTGTGTTTGCGTTTCATTTTTGACGTTGGATCAAGGTCATCCCGCAGGGCGGCGCAATGAAGGAGGAACAGACAACAAAGCTGCGGAGTCACTGTCCAGGAAAGGACTAAGCACAAAGTTTCCTTTGATGATTGTTTTGATGGAATACCTTGCCATTTGTGAGCGGAAACGCATGCGTGTACAACTTGAGTGGCAACTCATATTTTTTTTTTGTAGTCGGCGCCCGTTGCCTTTCGGCGGGTCGCACTTGAGACTCCCGAGTGGACCAGCAGGGATTCGAACCACCACCGGCAATCTGTCAGCGCTGGCAAGACCAACGCCATACCAACTGAGCCATCGGGTCGCCTTTGAGTGGCGACCCAGAGAATCCAACGTCGAAGCTGACGACCTCACAAACCTGGAGTTTGGCCATTTGTGAGCGGAAACGTATGCGTGTACAACTTGAGTGAATCCAACGTCGAAGCTGACGACCTCAGAAACCTGGAGTTTGGAAAATTTGATTTGAATAGGCGCATTGACGTCGCCTGGCATGATTTTCCAATGATAGAGATGCTGATGAAATTTACTGAATCCTTTTAAAAAACTCCAGATGTCGACATGGACCAGGCAACCCCAGATGCATGCATGCCCCTGACTGCTGCCCCAGGCTCCTCCTCGAGCGATGCACCCGCCCCTAAAGCACGGCGAATAGCCCACTCTGCCAATCGCAGATCAGCAGATGAATGGGTTACCGCACTCCATAACAGCCGAGCCAGTTTCCTAGCTACTACAGCTGTGCCAGAAGACCCCGCGGAGGCGATAAGAGGCGGGCTAGTTCTCACCCCTTTACTAGGATGTAAAGCCAGAACCCCGCTTGACTGGACACATGCATGGGCAATGCTAGGTGAATGGGCTGGAACCATTGCATTCCCTCTCCCGGAGCAAGCAGAATGGCCGCGTCACGGAGATGGTCGCTATTTACGACCGGACTTCGTCGAGCGGACCCCGCCCTTCCTGACCTGGGCGCGCCCTATATTCGAGCAAGGTGCACTCTCTCCTATGTCTGTCTTCCCAGCCGACTTCCCCATACTCTGCCTACCAGGGGATAAATTGTTCCAAAGCAAGGAGTTAGACAAAGGGTATAGCCTGCCACCAATAGTGCATGCCTTCCATGGGAGCAAAGTAGGCTTGGGGCACCAACTCCAACAGTGGCAAAGCAAAGGGCTGCAACCGCTTGCTGTGTCGCTCATAGGAGTCGATGAAGCACCCCCGCTATGGACACACCCCACAGGCTGCGATTTCGTTAGAGGAAGTAAAATAGTCGCCAAGCCACATGTCTCGCAAAAGCGCAGTCTTACCAAGACGCAAGTGTTGCTGCTTCAGAGCCTTTGGACGCCAGTTGAAGCCCCTAACTGCAACAACGACCACACACCCTGGCCTAAGACCTGCCAGACTGCCTGTGTCTTTTGCGGTCAGCAAGCTAGCCTCCAGCTGCCTACTGCCCAAATCCTCCCTCTCCTAGAAGCACTGCAACAACGACTAGGAATTGACCCTAGTAACGCAGAATTAGCCATCAACGAAGTTCTCG